GCTCCTCCTCCTCCTCTACTTGATGGAGTAATAGAGCAGTTACTAAAGGACAACAAAACATTACAAGCTCTTTCACTGGACATATCTGATGAATTCCTACCATCATCAATGAATATAGTAGAGGTGAACACACCACTCACTGCTCTAGAGATAGGAAGAGAATGGAGTAGTAAACTAATGACATCATCACAACTTCAACATATCAAAGGATTACACTGTATGATAATACATGAACCATACCCACCAAATCTTCTATTTCTCACTCATCCCAATCTACATACACTTACTTTGCCAGTAGACACAGCTGAGAGTGCTATTGAACTATTTGCTATTCTAAAAAGCAATACTACACTTGAAGCTCTGAGTGTGACGATAAAGGAGGAGAGAGTATATACCAGCAGTATAGGTACTAGTCTACAAGACATTAGTAGTAGTAGATCTTCATCTCTAATCGAGGAAACAGTAGATCTATCAACTAGCCAGAGTCTCAGTAGTCCAAAGGAGGAAACCAGCAGCATGGGCATAAGTAGCTCTCCTCTCATCTCTCGTAAGCTAATGCAAGACCCACTTAATGAGCTGAGTGTGAAAGTATGTACTAGTCTACAAGACATGCTAGCACAAAACAAAACACTGAAATACCTTGAGATTGATAGTTACAGGTATAGTGAAATTCTCATTCCCAGTTCATTCCTGTCCTTCCTAACAACTGGTCTCAGACACAACACCAGTCTACAGCAGTTGAAAGTATCCATTCCACTGAATAAAGAGATAAGAACTTTTGTTAATGTCATCTCTCAGAAGAGCAATCTCACAGAACTTGAAGTTAACTTCAATCCAGATCAGTCGTACAGTAACTGTAGTGAGGAAGAGATAAAACAAATAATGACACCATTGTTTTATGAACAGGGACTACCTGCTGTTACTAACTTGTTACAGTTGCATACTACCATCAGACTACTGAGGATAGAGTGTACATGTAGATATATTAATGATGATTCGTCTCAACATAACTGGATAGAACTAGTACAACATTTATATGAAATTATCTTTATCCATCCATCACTTGAATATATTGAGATATATACTGGATTGGCACCTACTCCTCCTCTCCTAGTGTATACTCTAAAAGATCAAAAGAAGACATTGATTGATAGACACAGAAAAGAACAACCACACAGACCACATCCAATAGTGAATTTAAAGAATTCCTAATAATATCATGATTTAGTTTATTAGAGCATTACCATAATCCTTTTTGTAGTGTAGATAATCCTTTTGTAGTGTATAGGTAATCCTTTTTTACATATTTTAATAAATAAAAAGGAAAAGAGAAGTAAATAATAATTATTATAATTTTAGATCTACTTAATCCATTATTATTATTATTATTAAGTTGTTGTTTGTGATGTAGTATTGACATTGATGATAAAAGATTGTAAATACCTCTACCTCTCTAAAACCAATAATAAATAATAACAACAACAACAATAATAAACAGTAATAATAAATATTAAATAATTAAAAAACGTATGATCATTATGACATTACATACATGTGAAAGTTGCTATGCCATGCTCATGATTATACCATTCATAAACAAATACTGGGTACTACATATTGAAAATATTAACAAGTACTTGAAGTGTCCAGTTTTACATACATGTACTGCAGTACATAATGATGATTCCATAGTTATCTCAATGTTACTTCTCTTAGCAGGACCATTAATACCAGGACTGGTACATACTAATGTACAGTCCAACTCCTCTTACAAGTAATCCTATTCACTGATGAACCAATCACATGAAACTCCTAGAGGGAGAGAGATTTTTGATGAGGCAAACCCTCTAAAGTTTCTGTGGTGACAGAGCCGCTCTCTTTATAACAGGAAGAGGAGACAACAACAATTCATTAGACTATAGAATAAATACTAATTAACTATTCATGAACTTATGAATTATTCATGACCTAAAACCACACCTACCTCATCCGAGAACTTTGATACGAAATCTTTAAGTTGGTCGATAAATACTTTATTATAAAATTGAATGATATCACCACGAGACTCTGGATGAGGGACTTTCCTTGATCAGTCTCTCCTTCATCTTTGAAACAGAAAGTGGGCAGGGCCAGATTTATCATATCGTCTTGAGTATGAGACGATTTAGAACCTTTTAGTATCAACACACTGCAATATATCTACAAGCAATAATGGAGGAAACAGGAAGAAAAGAAGAGGTTTATGTGGTATAATACTACGAGTTAAAATTTGACAGCTGCTAATGTACATGTACATGAATAGTCAAACCTGTCTATTCTGGACATCTTGGGACCCAATAATAACCTCCTGATTATGAATCTGTCCTGTCTTGCAAAAACGTTTTGTGTGTAGATTCTCTCACACAACAAAATAATGAATCCGTCCATTGATGTCAAAATGAGGATTTTCAGAAACAATATCCTACAACATTGAGTATGATAATAAGTACATACATATGTATATGTACATGTATACATATGTACAAAATGTAATAAAAATTTGCTGTGACTTTGGAGCCATTTTTTGAAAAATTCATGGGGCATAATAATAGCCTTGGGTATTTTTCAAAAATGGCCATTTGAAAAAAGGCCATAACTTAAAATTGAAGTTGGAATCAGTTTAAACTTACTACACAGCATAAGGATACTAAAAAGAATGTAAAACATTGAGGGACTCCACCTCCTGACTGCACCTACCAGTCATGCCAGATGTACGTACAAATTTTTGTAAGTAAGGGCTTCGCCCAATTAATATGATCAATATGCAATAGAAAATGTAATAAAAATTTGGGCCGGTAATTTTGAAGCCATTAAAAAAAACCATAGCTTTGGGTAATTTTTTGAATCTGCAATTTTTTAAACCGGCAATAAGTTGAAAAATTTAAGTCGGAATAAGTTCTAACTTTCTACACAACATAAGAACATCAATATGTATTAGAAAATGTAATAAAATTTGGAAATGACTTTGGAGCCATTTTTTAAACCATGGGCTATTATAGCCTTGCATACTTTTGAAAATTTTGGCATTTTCTTAAAATGGCCATAGCTTGAAAATTTAAGTTGGAACCAGCTCAAATTTTCGACGAAGCATAAGGACACCAATATGTATCAGAAAATGTAATAAAAACTGAAGACACAAGAATGTATACTTACAGGTAAATATTGGTGAGTCTATTACTTGTACTAGTCTGTCAGTTTCTTGCAATACTTTTGAAGTAATCTCAATTTCACCACCGGCTAAACAACAAGAAATGAAAACAATTACATGTACCATTATTCTTATTTATTATTATTGACTTGTATAGCCACTATGCTAGCAGCATGTTGATAATTCTGTGACAGTAGACACAGGGTTACTATAGCTATGGCATTGTGACAACAGCAATCAAAAAGACTCTTACACAATATTTAACTATCCTACAAGAAAAGTACATCAAGTGATAACGATAAAATACTGTATAGGGGTTATATTTCATTGGTAATAAATTTCACAAATTTTGCATTTTCATTAAATTCATGAAATTAAATTCCACAAAAGAGGTGTGGCGCACTAGGAAAAATGGCTGCAGAAGGTAAGATTTGCAAAAATTTATACCAACAAATAACAAATTCGTGAAATCTTATATAAAAAAATAAAACCCCTATACAGTAATAATAATGTAAAAATATTATTAAAAATTTAAGTGATACTGATAATTAGGAGAGAATACATGTACTCTATTATCTATGATTGATGTGAAGTGATGCAGCTGACCAATGTAAACTAATGGCAACAAACATAATTCAGTATAGTGTGAAAGATATCAATGTGCAATTGTGCATTTTTTTAGCAGCTGTTAGCTGTATTATTCATGTACAGATGAGCACAGCTTTCTGTATAAAGACTAAAGGCCTTTCTATACTTAAACTGGTTCTAGAAGTCGGCTCATGAATGCACATTGAATCAGCATCAAGTGATTCCACACTATCTTCAGGATCATGTATATTTTGATAACATTTCTGATCCAGCTGCCATTGGTTGTCTACCTTATAGCTCCAAATTTTCGTCAGTCAAAAATTTCGTCAAAATCTTAATTTCTTGTTAAAGTTAATTTTCGTCAATAAAATTTTTGTCATTTTTGTTATTAATCCGCATACTACCCACGTGAAACAAAAATTTTGTTGATTAAAAATTTTGTCAAGCAAAAGTATGTGATGAATTTGACGAAAATTTGAAGCTATACGGTATCAAATGTGCATTCAAACCACATATGAAGGTGGTTTGAGATAATGCCTTTGAAGTCAATTCGCTTCAGGTGTGGAATGACTGGAATTGGTTTCAAACCAGTTAAATGCCGGTGCGGCGGTGCATTAGAAGTGCTAGTGTAGAAAGGCCTTAAGAGTCAGGAGTTTAGGACCACATTTTCTTTTTTTCAAGCTATCAATTCATAATCCCCATTATGAATCATTTACAATCTGTAGAGTTTACTCAAAATGATCAATGTGGTCTTATAACAGGTAAACAACAGTTGACTTGATGGTAGAGTATAGTTACTCTTTGTAAATATCTTCATCAAATCATAGACAAGGAGCTTACTATGACAGCTGCTAACAAGATGTTTAGTTATTCTGAAGATCATTACAAGCTAATAGGGACTGGATTAATTGTGAAGGTGTCTGATCTGAAGTCAATACCAGGAGAAACTAACAATCTTATTCTAGTATTCCTGAGGTGCTTTGAAGCAGATAAAAATGTTAATTCGGCTACACTGATAAAACTGTGTGATGACTTTCCTGATCAACTGGGGAAAACAAAATCTAACCTTCTGGCATATATAGGTAAGTTACTATAACACAATACTCAGTACCGGCTCTTGTGTGTATGTTAATAAATGCCATAGATACTTAGCTCTACTTTAGTAATGTAACTAGCTCTACATTCACATTTATTCTTAAATTACACTCAATAATTCAATGAATATTTATTATGTCATAATTTTTTTTGATTATTAATAATTACAATTGAATCTAATGTCATATTTTTGCAGGTGCAGTGGATAACATGCAAGATATCAATTGATGCATGAAATTAGAATTTTAACATGTAGCAAACTAAACATTGTTAAAAATAGTTATGTGCTTAAAAATATTTTAGTCATTTTCTGATGATACATGTACATGTAAATCAGCATGCTATCTATATCTACATCAAGCAAAAATTTTGTCAGCCAAAAATTTTGTCAAAACGAAAGTGCCTGAAAAATTTTTATGGAGAAAAACATACAACAATAATAAAAAATATACGGTATGGCAGGAAATTTTTGAGGGACTTAAGTTTGGTGAACTGAAAATTTTAGTGATTTGCAAACTTGTGGCCACATGCCATTGAGCATGCTCATTATGGCTCAAAATGGTGAATTTTTATTTCGGTAAATGGCTATCAAAATGTCAAATTTAACTCCCTCCAAAATTTCACGCTATGCGATATACAAATAAGAAATAATTATATTGTACATGTACAATGTAAGTGGATTTCTACATATATAAGTAAATGTACATATTCTGGATGCACTTACTGGTCCGTCCATACTCTGCAGCTGCGTACGAAGATTAAACAGTTCAGCTGAACTGAAAGGAAGAGTGTTTAGTTCCCGGACCATCGGTGAAGCAAATGATAGTTTCTCTTCAGTAGCCAGTATCTCAACTAATGTGCAATAAACTGCTTTAGCATCAACAAATGCACACAAGTGTCTAGTGGAAGAGAGAGAGAGAGCTAGAGAAAGAGAGAGAGACAGAGAGAGACAGAGAGAGTGAGAGAGAGGAGAGAGAGAGAGAGAGGGGGGGAGTAGTTTGAGTAATACTTGTACAGTATGATATATACATGCATACTTATGTACATGTACATATACTGTAGCTAAAAAATCTGGAGTTATAAAATCTGGCAAATTGTTCTCAAATTTGGTGACTAAATTTAGAAAAATTTTGACCATGCACTACAAATGATGCCACAAAAATAGGACTGTTAATTGTATTTTGTCAAAATTCATAAAAAATATAACCTCTACATGCACCATAAATACACGTACTGTACTGTACAAGTACATATATATACTATACCTAAAACTGAGGCTGCCTTTGTTCTCTAGTAGTCACTGCTGTTGAACATTTACATAAATTTGGCCAGGAACAATTTAAAATTTTTATTAAAAATTATAATGGCCATACTCTCCTGTTCCTGATGTCCCTAGAATTGTAATATTAACAATAACAATAAGCCGTATCCACTCCACTACCTTTTTTTGGTTGGACATCACACATCTCATGACCAGCGTCTGACATTGATAGAGTAGCAATCACTTTAAGGGTTCAATTTAATACCTGAAGACAAGAAGAAAATACATTATCAATTAAAATTTGATATACATGTTAAATGTATCATGTATGAAGACAGTGATAATAATAATGATGATGATAATGATAATAAAAATAATTTTGAAGATGGATTAAGAAGCTGAGAATAAAGGTTCAAATGGAACATTTACAGAAGACCGCACTATTAGGAACAGCTAGAATATTGAGGAAACACATGAATGCCAAGAACTAGAACATCTAAGTTTACTTGTCAAAAACTGATTAGGATGTGTTCCAATTATGAATTTAATTGTGTGGTTTATGAAATAATAATAACAATAATACAATTGTTACTGATGAAGTAGTTATATTTGTTTGTACATTACATACATTATGTCAGGGTGTGGCAAAGGATGCAATCTGATCCACTTAATATTTTCATCATTATATACAATTATAAAAATATTAGAATATAAAAAATAACAATCATTTTAATAAATAACAAGTCGCTCATTTTTAATATCACAAACAAACAAGAATCCATCTTTATCAAATGCTAATCCCAAAAACACATTAAATTGATTAATACTACAGTGATCCATGCAACTTCCAAACTCCCTAACAAACACACCATCACTAGTGAAAACTGATATAGGAGCAATGCCACAGTTACTAACATACACTAGACCAGTAGCTGCAGTGTCTATAGTTATACCACCTGGCTTACTAAGCTGTCCAAGACCAAACTGACCCACAAACTTTCCATATGGAGAGAACTTCTGAATTCGATGATTATTCATATCAGCAACATACACTAATCCTTGACTGTCAATAGCAATGTCACGTGGAGAGTCAAACTGTCCATTAGCTAATCCATAACTACCAAATGAATGAGAAAAGGTTAGATCAGGAGTTAAGACTTGTATACGATGATTACCATCATCAGCAATATAAACCTGTCCTGTTATAGGACAATTGACTGTGCCATCAGGATATTTGAATTGTAGTCGTCCACTGCCCTCCTTACCAAATGATGCTTTACGATATCCATCCATGCTTATCTTCTGGATCCTGTGATTATCAGACACAAGAATGAATTTGTCTGGAGTAATGGCTACACCACGAGGTTTAGAAAACTTGACATTACCACTTCCTCCTTTCCCTCCTAATGACTTCACTTTCTTTCCTTCGCTATCCAGTATTGTTACACAGTTACTACGAATCTCAGATATTATAATATGATTATCATAACTTACAGCAACTGCCCAAGGACTCTTAAGCTCAGTTATAGTACGTACTGGAGTGATGTTATCAAGGTAAGGATTTAAAGGGATGACTAGTGAGGTATCCTCAAGGTGTACATCATATACTTGTACTTTTACTGTATGAGCACCTCGTGTTGAAGGGCTACACTGTATCCTATACACTCCAGGATCAGTGCTGGTGATAGTGACTGTAGTATGAATGGGTTGATCACCTTTACCAACTGGTACTAGACTACACTTCAGAGAAGAGAGGGGAACACACAAAAGAGAGGAATCTGGTGCTTCCAATGATAGTGAAAACGAAGCTGCTTCGCTAATAATATGATTAATCTTTTTCACTCTACACTGCTGTAGTGCAGTAGTCCCTGAAATAATACCTCCTATGTGATGTAGTGATTTGATATCTTTACTCAATACAAAGTCACCTTCTTCCTTTGGATGTAACTCCTCTACATTGATCTTTGCACTAACTTCACTCATATGCTCCATCATCTGTTTTTTACACCTCAAGACTTGTTGAGGACTGCCTGTCTTCAGACTCTGTTCCACATAATCCTGGACATCCTCCAGAAGACTCAAACTCATTTCTGCTGATTTCATTTGCTCTGACAGCACCTTTAGTTTAGCATCAGTGACCCTCTTTGCCTGCTCAGTTAGTTTCCTCTCTGACTGACGAAGAATAGCAATCATTTCCTCTACCATTTCATGTATTTCTTGCAAGACTCCTTCTCCTCTCTCTCTGATCTCACCCTCTCTCTCTGCTAGAGCAGACAGGACCTTCTTGAGTGCTTCTTTCTTTCCTTCAACTGGTGATAGACACTCTCTTAACTTTTGACAGTGTTTAGTGTAATTGTCAGTGATTAAATCGTATTCGTGATGTTTGTGATTACGAGCTAAGCAGTGAGAACAGATTACTGTGTCACATGTTTCACAGAATAGCTCCAAAGGTTTTCCATGATCACTACATGTGGCCTCTGCTGTCATCTTTGTTAGACTGTACATCTCTTTGAGGTCATTGAGGTGGAATGCTACAGGAAAGGCTCCTGCTCCTTCTTCTGGTAACTCTGTATGATGACGACAAGTGGGACAAGAGAGGTAATAGGTCTCATTCTTCTTATCCAGAGGTAATCCCTCCAGACAGTGCTGACAGAATGAATGTAGACAAGGTAAAGTCTTAGGCTTGGTATAGTGGTCAAGACACACAGGACAGGTGAGTCGCTCTTTCAGTTTGAGTCTGAGACGAGAAGATGATTTGGTTGCCATTTCAGCAAAAAATGAAGATAGATATAAAGGTAGAAGATGGTAAAAATGAAGATAGAGCAAGAACAAATGATAAGAAAATGAAGAAGTCAGAATGAACAAGAATGTAAAACGAAGTAGAGGAGAAAGAAAGTCCTACAGACCAAATGCAACAATAAAACAAAATGAAGGTGAAAGGCCTAAGTAAGGCCTAGTTTACATGACCCTGCCCTAATCTGCATTGTTTTTGCTATTACTGTTTACAGGTGTTTACATAAATCCGGCAATTGTGTTTTCATTACAATTTCTGTTTTTGTTTTCTTGTGTTCTAAATAAATATACAAATACAGTATACAGTATTTGTATACTGTATACTGTATCTATGGTTTTAGTGTAAACAGCTCCCTTATCTGACCAAAAATACCTTCATGTTACTCTTATAGTCATTTCACTTCAGTTGGATCATTGCGTGAGGCATACCGTATAGCCAAAAAATTTCGTGAGGAATAAATTTTCGTATTTTTGTGATCACTGTTTGCATCATGAAAAATTAAACCCCTGAAAATAAATATTAATTGAGGGGCATGGTTAACCACGCCTACTAATAAATGTGCCCTCATGTCACGTCATGTTCTCGGTCAAGCTGATGTCTCTGTTACTTTGTATTGCTATTTTAAGCATACTGCCAAGGTCAAAGATGATGATCTCCCTAATCACTGGTGTCCATACTGATTTGTAGACATGGTGCCCCCTGACACAAGAGTCCGTCTCAAACACTGAATCTGCCATGTTTTAATTAAATAAGGCGTGGTCATTATTACTAAAATAAAATCATGAAAATATTTATCACGGAATTTAAAATTTCTCCATAAATTTCATTATTCACGAAATTTTAAGCCTCGAAAATTTTTAGCTATATGGTATGTTAGTTTACTTTTGGTGGATGGTTTATTAGGTGCACATGATCCTCACCCAATATGCACTGTTTGAATGCAAGTGAAATCTGCTGTATATTAAAATTTAGTGTCATAAACATGTACTAAGGAAGGTCAGCTAAACAAAAAAGTGAGAGATCCTTTCCCACCTGTGTAACATAGGGGTAGAGTGACCACGCCCACTGTTGTGACTCCTAGATGTTACCATCTATAGTACACAGCCAAAAATTATGCCTGTACCAGCAATATTGCCCAACATTAATGAATCATGTCTGATGTCAGTACTACATTCCTGACAGTTATCATTGCTCATCATGCCCTTGAACCAATGCAATCTTTTCATAATTGTGCAACGACTAATTTCATCAGTGTATCACGGCTGATTACCCAAAATGAGCAATTCGGAACTGAATTCATGACTGATTCAGATTCTTTGTGTATGCTGCCTGCTTTCTTCCCTGCTTTTGCGCACTTCTAAAACTAAAGGGAACTACTGAAGCTTAAAGAACCTTACTATATATTCAAAGATCTTGTCACTAAAAGAAGTTATGCATGATAGTACATAAAGAATCCTGGCTTTACCATAGCAACCACTGCACCCAATGTACATGAACCTTATTACCTGATGAATGTACACGTACAGGTAAGATGCATATACATGCACATGTATAAATTCTAATTCCATGTAGTCTTTAGTCTGAAACAGAACATCATAATGTTACTACAGTACTGTATACCTGGAGCTGGCTAATTGCAAAATTTTTGATGCTTAGTGATTTTTAATTTGACAAATTTTGTCATCATGTGCCATTGAGTATGTGTATAAATTATTCAAAGTGGTGGGTTTGATTTTGAATAATGGCTAATAAATGCCAAATGCAGCAAAAATTGTCCTCCCCAGCTATACGCATATCATATCAATAATCTGTATAGTAAGACTGATTGCCAGGAGCAATAGTAAGTAGATTATTTAAGAAGATAGATGAAGCAAGATGTCACAAATTTAGAGTTTCTGGTCAGTTGGCAAAATTTAAATAATGAAATTCCCGTATCTTCATTGCCATGTGGTGTAGTATGCAAGCTATTTGCAAAAAAATTATGAAATCTTAATAAGGAAGGATTAGTGAATAAAGTACCAATGAGTACCTGAGACTCAAAGAGACGTCTCACTGAAGGCCACCAGTAATAGTCCCTTACTATCAGACACTCACTCTCTATCACTGGAGAGATATTAATAATAACAAGAGTACATAATTATCTATTCTTGATAATAATAATAAAATAATAATTGTTTCTACATTTTTTGTTGTCTCCCTCTTCAATCTCTAGTGTTTTGTCTCTTAGGCCACTTATTTTTATAGTAATTCATATTATCAATAATAATTATTAGATTAACTCTGGAGTTGCATCATTATTATTATCTGTACTATTCATTATTTTACATTAATTTTCGTTGATAATAATAATGCTCTACCTATTGGGTATCGAAAGCCCTTACTCAATATTCCAGCTCATTGTGATGGATGTGGCTCCCCATTTGATTTATCTCATGCTCTCTCATGTAGTAAGGGAGGCCTTGTTGTTCCGT